TGGCCTGTGCTCCAGCTCCTGCCTCCAGGTTCCTGCCCTGAGTTCCTACCTTGGTCTCCCTGATGAACTGCGACCTGGGAGATGTAAGACAAATAAACCCTTTCCTCTCCAAGTTGGTACTGGTCAGAGTGTTTTGTCACAGCAATGGAGAACAAACCAGGACACCAGGCATCTGAACAGCCTTCATTTCCCCTCAAATTCATAGAAATAAGATACTCACTATCTCATGTTGACACTGACTATGTTGCTAAAGAATGACAGAAAAGCCTTACAGTTCTTTCCTGGTTCCTGTTATTACATTAAATTGCTACTGTGGAAGTAATAGAGTTAAAAAAAAAGATTTTTAATCCTTGTTTTCTCCCTCTGTCAGGAAAGTTCAGCTGACAAGTTTGTGGTTTAAACGCTGACACAGCTAGCTGGAACCAGTTGCCTTCTGTCCTGATGAAACTTCCTCAGTTCTGTTTGTCTCAGACAGAGATTTTTGAAATGATATTCAGACAGGGGATGCTTTTTATCTTTGTTTTCTTTCTAAATTTATAATAACTAGCCTGGTTTTAAGACTTTACTGATAATATATCAGAGAAAGGGGTCACAAGATGAACCAGTGGATAAAGGGAGGCCAAGCCAGCAGAGCTGGGTTCCTTACCTGGATCCCACATATTGGAAGGAGAGAACTGACCCCCAAAATTGTCCTGTTACTTGTGTGCTTTGGATTCCATTCCCCTCCCCACAAAATGAGTCATATTTTTTAAAATCCCAAAACAACTCAAAAATAAAGATTACTTTCTACGGCAGCCTGTAAACTGTAATTATATGGTCTGGGACCTGCCTGTATCAGAGTACCCCCGGAGTACCCCCGCAGTCTGGTACTCACACCTGCTTGGCTGAAACTCCCTTCTATCGAGTCTCTGGTATGGAACCTGTTAGGAAAATCTTCCGATGACAGAGCTTTCTGTCCTTCATGTAGCCTTCTTGTAGGGCATTTCTATCTTTCAAGTGTCACATCACAAAACTGCTGTTAAGTTCATGAAAAGACCAGGACCACTAGAGACCACTCTGAGGTGAGAAAAGAGGAAATTTATTGGAAGGGATGAACTGCTGGACTGTTCCTGTTCCCACAGGAGAGAGAAAGCCAGTGATTTCTTATCACAGCAGGCTGGGTTTTTTAGGATTTCTTTTCTTTTGTGGGTAGGGAGTGGTGGGGCTGTAGCAGGAGGGGGGGTGAATTAGTAGCAGGTGCCTTGATGGGGGAGCAGTTTCAGTTAGGTATTTTTCAGCTATTTGGTTGACTGTGATGGAAAATTGCTGTTATGATTAGGGTGCAATGTTAAAACAAAGGTCAGGTGTTTACTGAGAAACTAGGATGGTTTAGTTTGTGTCCCGGAATGCTGCCTGCCAGGTTGTTGCCATGTTGCTGGTCAGTTGTGACTCCATCTTGGGGCCCAGTTTGGCTTAACAACTGCCAGGCCTTCTTCCCTCTCCCTGTTCTTTTCTGGTGCAAAGGATGAAACTCAGGTCTGTCTATGTGCTAAGCACAGGCCACACCACGGAGACACCCCAGCCCTCCTGTGTTCTTCTTGGTCATTGTAACCTAATGTCCAGTCCCATCATCCCGCTTCCTACCCTGTCTACAATCCCCCTGTTCCGATGGGCACCACAGTACTGGGACAGGCATCACTACTAGTTGGATGGTGAAGTCAGAGGAAGTGAAATAGCAGAAGTCCAGCTGCACTGTAGCACTGGCGAATTCAAAGACAAGGCAACAAGTGTCCTCAGCTTCCTGTAGCGTGGCAGCTAAGTCACAGACCTAGATAACCCAACTAATGTCATCCGTAGACATCAGGGAGCCCAGTCACTCCTAGCCTTTGACTGAGATAGGAGCATCGCTGTGGTATATTTGCACATGCGTGCGCATGCACACGTGCCCAAGCACTAGAACAAACGCTCTCCCCAAGGGGCAGCAGGAACATGTTAACCTGGGCTGTTTCCTGGTACACTGAAACTTGCATGGATGCCCATGAAAACATTGTCACTTTGCCTCCTGACCTTTGAAGTCTAAGGCTGGAGGTATCCATGGGAATCCAAGTGTGTTTGTTCCAGTATGCAATGCATATATTAGAAGATTTGGCCAATCCAGATGCTAAATAAAGCTGTAGTGATTTTGTGTTTATTTTTGAGACAGGGTCTCAATATGTAGCCTTGGCTGGCCTAGGGCTCACTGTGTAGACCAGGTTGGCCTTGAATTCACAGAGATCTCCCTGCT